GTGTGTGTGTGTGTGTGTGTGTGTGTGTGTGTGTGTGTGTGTGTGTGCCTGCCTATCTATCCTCCTCTGTTTTCATGTTCTGTGTAAAAGCTATGTTGATGAAGGAATCCGCGATGATCAGAGGGTTGGACACGGAGGTTTGCCTCCTTTAGTGATCTCTGTGTGTTTCCCTTTCATCCGCCTTTGTGGAGACGTTGTGATCTCGGTAGACATTACTGGGACCGCAGTGCTACGAAGCGAGCAGCAGCATATAGAAACGGGCCAAGAAAGACGGTGATTGTATTGTTCATTCATTGCTCTAATAGGGATGTCAGAGTTATAAAATTTCTTTAGGATGATATTTTGGGGGGTGTGAGGTCATGTAACATGCAACTTCTGCCATTCAAATAGATCAGTCCCTTTTATAAGTGTCTTTAAACCTCCGCCATCAAACCCATTTCAGCAGTAAAATTCGAGTGTATTAAGTCCTTTTGCATGCATGTTATTGTTCATGTTACTGTAAGTTTTGGTGTAGCGCTTCATCATTTTGGAACATTTTGAACATAAGGAAATACATAAATGAGAGCCAGTGTCTCATTTGATGCACACTGCAGCCACGTTGTTCTACTAGCCACCTCAATGCTGCGATGTAACAGCCAAAGAAAGCACAGACTGTGCCAATTTATAATTCATTTGGATGCTTTTTTTCCCCCTTATATTTATTCCGCCCCATCCACTCAGTTCTGAGTGCAGCATGCCGCTCAATCCCAGCCCAAACAACTGGGCCAAGCCATCCCGTTGTCAGAAAATACTCTCCTCATCCTTGATCTGACGTGATACAGATTGCCCACCTCTGTAAAGATGAGAAGGGATAAAGCAGATGAGAACGCAACAAAGGGAAAGAGATTGGGATGTTTTGCTTTATAGTCCGCTTTACCCTCACACACAGACATTGATCTCTCCGCATGTTTCACAAAAGAGATACTTGGTGTTTGGCCATTTGTCAGGATAAGGAACTACAGGGTCAGGGAAGAGGCAAAATACTGACTCAGACCTGTAGACATTAGTGGAGAATAAACCTTATGGGAATCCAAGTGGCATTCAGCCATTCATCAACTTCCAAGCTCGTATCAACACTGCTATAGACTGGCCCAAAAGAATGCTATTTTTTCGTACTACATTTTGAAGCTACTACTTAATTAATAGTTAAGTCAAATTTGAATGCATGAGTATTTCTGCGCTCAAGTATTGCTACCTTTACTTAGGTAAAAGATCTGCGTTCTTCTTCCTCCACTGGTTACAGAAATATATTTTTAACTGCACCTCATCTCCTATTCAGCATCACCGAATAGGAGATGAGCTTACATGTCCTTAGCATTGGGGTACATTTAGTAAATTCCCAACCACAATATTATATACAACAACCGCTTCTCTAGCTCTGTCTGCTGAGTGACTTGTAGGCTGGAGAAAAAAAACACTTGTTACCGAGATTAGCCTTTGCACTTGCGAAGAGGATCACAGAGTATGAGCTGAGGCAATGCCATTTGACTGACTGACCTGAATTCTGCTCCCGATGAACACATCGTGCGCCATGGGAAAAATAACTTCCCTGCTCACACAAGCTGATTCCAGTTCCATTAGTCACATTACGGCAATGCTCTGTGCGCTCTGCAGTGGTAATGGCGGTGGAAGGGTGTGAGCTGTGCTATTGCTACAGATGTTGTAAAATACTTCTGTGCCTCCAGAGGTTGCAAAAGTCAATAAACTGAAAGTTTACATGTCCTGTAGAGTAGGAGCCTTGATGGAAATGCAGGGAGTATTCCAGGGGAGTGTAATGCTTCTGTGAATTATTGTAAAATCAATACTTTTAAAAATAGGTTGTCCTCTTTGAGATCACTGGTGAAATCTATAACATGCGTGCTAAATGTTTCTAGTTCTTCAGCTAATCTTGCCACTGAGGGTTTTTTTTTTTCCCTTTCGTTCACAGGCCCGGTTTCCCAAAAGCATCTCAGGATTATAGCCATATTTGTTCATCTAATGTTTCCATTGGCATGTTTCCATCCCAAGATGGGTGTTGTGCATGCTGAGATACTTTGGAAAGCAGGTCGAGGTCGAGCGCCAGTGGTTCATTTGACAGTACGAATACCGGAGTTTGGTTACACTTGTACCCTGTACCCTGGCAATGCTCCCGCAGAGAATCTCAACACCTGGAGCTGGTCCCTGTCAGATGCTTTCATACACAGTACAATTAGGAACCAGTAAATATATATATGAACAGCAAGCAAAAGAGAACCCAAACACCTTAATTCAATTGACGTTAAAGAAAAAAAGGGCCTTTAGCTGCAGAATGTAAAATAGAGCTTCTCAACAGTAGAATAGGTATATTATGAAGGCAGCCTCCCTGGCTCCCTGGTGGAGTTTCATGGAGTGCTTTCTCACTGTGATAATGAAATGACCTGGCCTGCACTGCTCCACTCTCTCTCTCTCAAAAACACATCTGCTAGACGAGGGCGAAAATGAGAAAATCCTACCTCCTCTCCAGAGTTTCGTAAAGCATACTTTCAATATTCTTTTTCACAGACGATGATGGGAGTGCGAGTGACTGCGCGCTCTTGTTTCCCTGCGAGTGCTGTGAATTACTGCGGCCGCGTGTGTTACTTTGTCTGTGGTTTTGGTTGCTGGCACTGTCTTGAGCAACTTGTAAAAGAATGTAATTGAAGCACATCTGACATAACAAGGTACTACACAGAAATTCAGTGGATATAAATCCAATAGAGTTGTCATCGTAACAGTGTTTTTGTAACTTAATTTCTGTGGTTTGAACGCAGTGGAATCAATACAAGGACTTCAATTTTACCCCATTTCAAGGTAGAATCCAATACAGCAAACTGTAGTCCCACACTGTTTTCAGCTAATCTTGTGGGCCTCGCTAAACATTCAGGCCGTACTAGACTGATTCAGAAGAATGACTCACCAGTTTAGTACAGCACAGGCTGCACGCAGACCATGTATTCCCTCAGCTTCTAGTTAGCAGGGAATCTATGGCAGCACTGAGGCAGAGAGCTGTCATTGAGTTACATAATCAACAGAGGAGTGTAGCAAGGATATGCGTGTGTTTGTGTGGGTGTGTGTGCCCGTGCATTTGTGTAGCCACAATTCTTTTTGAGCTGTCGATCATTTGAAACACGAAGGCCACTCTTAACGCGAGGCTGCTGAGGTGGACTTTCAGCAACAATGGAGCTTAAGCCCGAGCGTGTGAGCACATGTGTAGTGTTTTTAATAGGCATATGCGTGGATGAATAGGCCGCCGCATTCACAAGGCTGGGGAGAAAAGGCGCGCTACATGCGAGGTATTAGGTGTGCATGCTGAGAGATGAGCCAATTTACAGAACATGTCGGCTCACAAGGATGCATTTACATATGCATTGTGTGTGGGTTTGTGTGTGTGTCCTTATTTGTATCCTGTTGTATGTTTCCATGCATGCTTGGATGCATAGGCCTATAGGCCTATTTGTTTGTGCATGAGCCAAGCGTGCATGTCTAGCCATGTAAGCCTACCCACTTGTGCCTGTTTGTGTGTTTGTAGGTATGCATGTCTGCATCTCGGTGTCTTTTTGTGTGTCTTTTTTATCACGCTGGCATTAGGCTAGAGAGAGCTTCATGCATTGTCTGTGTATAGTATTGCTTCTGCTGCTCAATGATGCCATCTGGCTTTGGCTAACACCACCACATACATCCTGGGGGAGCTATCCGTGCTAGTCAGCGTCTGGCTTTAACAACTGTTTTGGGATCGGTTGTCCAGTGGGCTGGTGCTAACTCACACTATTATGAGCAGGATGATAAAACTGACCTTGAAGCAGTTTATGGGCCCGGGATAATGGAAACTACTGATAGAGAGCCCATGAATCTCCACTCAGCTTTCAATGACAAAAGAAAACAATGGTTTAACCACTTAACATCGTTTAGATACTGTATCAAAAAATGTATGAGGGGACGTTCTGTGGCTCAACTATAGCGATGACAAATGAAGAGACTGGCTGATAACAGTTAAGATTGAATATTAAAACAATCAAGAATGGCAGTGAGGTAAAGTTTTAAACTAAAATAAATGTTATGATAAGGGAAAGTGCGAACATTATTAGGGGCGGAGTTGGGTCAAAATAGGGGCGAGTTTAGCAATTTCTATTTTGGGGGGGAAATCATGGGAGGGTCTTTTATGTTTATCTTATTCAAAGATATTGACTTCAATAAGATGACTATCATGTGTGCCATGGATTATAAAGGTGCGTTTTGTCACATGCAGAAGACATTATCATTAACATTAATTATCTTGATTTTAGGGGGCGAAATGGTGCTGATATTTTTCTTTTTCAAAGGAAAAGTCCAACAAAAATATTAATAACTTTTAGGACGGTTTTGCTTTTTTTTTAATAAAAATTTTTTTAAGTAAAACATAAAGTAAACGCAAATAATTTTAGGTCTCTAAAACGCCAGTGCAGAGAGAATTTAGGACCAGGAAAATGAAACGCAACCTCAGAGGGTCAGTGCTGTCGTACCCCGCGGGTTAAGACTTGCATATAAAACCAATGGAGGTGGAACACAATTAGGTCAGATTGAGGCCAGACCATGGGTCACGGTAAAAGCACTCATATGTATGCAAGCTTATAGGTCCCTTGGGAGCAGTGGGCTGACCTTGTCCCATACTCTGATCTATGTCCTCATCTCCCCCTATGTCCTCTTTTCCTCATTCCTCCCCTCTCTTCCTTTTCCATCACCACATTTCTCTCTTTTTGTGTGTGTGTTTTTACCATTTTCCATTAGTTTCTCTTCTTCCTCACCCTGTTTGGTTTCACTCCTCCTAAAATATCCCTCTTTCCTATCCAGCACAGTTTTTTACTCGCATCCTTCTGTCTGTCTTTCACTTTTTTTTACTCATTTTAACACCTTTTTTTTTTTATCCTTCCCCAATTCCTTAAACCCCTCTTGTCCTTTTTCCATATCAACAGCCAGTCTAATAAATAATGCATCACAGCACATTAAAAACATTAGTAGGGTTCTCTTGGCTGTCAAAGAGAGGGAGGAGACGAGAGAGAGGAAGGAATGGGTAACTCCATTTTAAATAAGTGATATGGAGAATGATGTGATTTAATATTAGCAGCAGAGAAGCGCTAGGAAAGGGTGAAGGTCCGAGCATTAATTGTGTTTGCGTCGTGACATTGTGTCCCCCGTGCTCAAAGGTTTCGCCTTTGGTGAATCATCTGAAAGCCCCGAGATTCATTAAGATGATGACTGTATCAGCAAACTCTGAAGAAAAGATTTAATGACATTTAGCAAAACACTGATGCTGCATCACACAGAACCTTGACCTTTCCCTCCTCCCCTTTCATCCTCAGCTTTCTCCTCTCCTTTCCTTTTTCTCTCCTCTCCTCCCCTCCCCTCCCCTCCCCTCTTTCCTCTCCTTCCATTCCTCCTGGCATCGTGGCGATTGGCATTATTAAAAATTGATTGGCGGCGAGCGTTTAGCAGGGTGGTGAGGCGGAGAGGGAAGGTTTGACAGGCAGGAGTGAAATGAAAGGACGGCCTCGGTGGGCACACTGTGGAAAAGTCTCACTGGGGGACAGAAAGTGTTTGTGTGAAATGAGAGGATAGTGCAAGAACATTTGGTAGTGACGCATACTATGTTTATTCTGTGTATACTTGTTGAATTTTCTGTGTGTGTATGTAAACATCCAGCACTTCACGACAGCACACGAGCATCCAGAAGCACCCACAGAGAGGATACACAGTCACAGAAGCTCTGCTGACCCAGAGTTACCTCTCTACCATCCTCCCTCCATCCCTCTTTCTATCGTTCCCTTCATCCCTCTGCTTATCCTCCTTTCCAACCCTTCTCTCTCCTTTCATCTCACATCACAACTATTCCCCCAATGGCTATAAGTGCTACAGCTTTGGAGATTTTCAATACGCTTTACCCGCAATTTGGCTGAGTGATTCGAAAAAACTTTTTTTTTGAGGGAGAGGGGTAGAAGCATGTGCTATAACATGATGCTTACTGGTTGTCTCTTGTCTTCTTCTTTTTTTTCTGTCTCTATTCTCTTTGTCCTCTCTTTGCTTCTCTTTCTCTCTCGGTCACAGATGAACAGACCGATCCAGGTGAAGCCAGCAGACAGCGAGAGTCGAGGAGGTACTGTACGCCCTTCCTTTCTTCTTTTCCTCCCCCCCTTTCCTTGCTACTTTCCTTCCCTTTGTTCTAGCCCTACAAACATGCTGCCTGTGCGTATCAGCCTCACCATTATCTGTCCCATTAGACGATGCCCTGTACCTCGACGCAGGCTGACAGGCGCGGCCTAGCCGGACCCTCCAGTATTCAGAACGCATTATGTAAACAGTGTTCCTTCTGGCTGGCGCTGCCCCAAGCTCCTTTCTTGGAGTTTCATCATATGCACTGATGCATGGACATGCAATGCACACACAGAAACATGTGTGCCATGCCATGCTTGAGGGGAAAACAGGCCACTTCTTTTTGTCAAACACCTAACGCTGTCGTCAACAAAGCGAGTCCTATTTGACTTGTGTCACAAGTTCGTATCAGCCAAATGAACCGCAGATTCAATAGACAGATCTGTGTGAATGAAAGTGGATGTCATGTCTGGTATTCTATGTGTGGCGTATTGTATTGACAGCTAAGACAGCATACAGCACATTTTCTATGTCTAGACATGAAGTGACCTGCTTCTGACATCAATCAATGGACTGCACAAGAGAAGATTGATGCAGTTTGAACATTTTCGGCTGGAGTGTCTCAAACTTTTGCAGTCGTTGATATAATTGGCACCAGAGCGATTCTTCAGTCATGGGAAAGAGGGAAAGAGTGGGGGGGCAAAGGGGAAAATAGAGCATGCAAGGAGTTCAAGGTTGATGAGCAGAGAGAAACATAAGGACTGAGGAAGAGGTACGCCTGTAAAAGAGAGAAAAAATACTTTAAGGAGAAGAAGAGAGCTAGTGCGACATCCTCTTCTATTTAGTTTGGTGGTGCTCTGAGTATGATTGATGGAGCGGGAGGGAACAGAGGCGAGCATGAAGCGTGAGGAAGCAAAGTGAGGGCAATGCAGGCCGTCCATACCGCTGTCTGTTATTTTGAGTATTTCTCTCCCTGTACGTCCTCAGCCCACTTCTATTCTCCACACTTCTATTTTTTTTTCAAGATTATTTCTATGTCTATTTCTTTATTCTTCTCTATCCCTTGGATGTTTCTGTCAGACATGAATCCAAGGCTCCATCACGCTGTCAGGGTGTTACATTTTAATTGCAGTGGAGGTAGAAGCACAACACCAATGTGAAAAATACGCCAATACAAGTAAAAGTCCTTTTATGATCACACTGATGCAAAAGTACAAATGTACCAAAAGTGAAAGTAGTTGTTCTGCAGGAGAATGGCCCCTGTGACTGATACGCTGTATTGTCATATATTACAGTAGACTGTTAATAATGATGCATCCGTGTAAGTAACATATTACTGTTGTCGCTGGTGGAGTCTGGGCCCCCTCCCGTGGATCGCTAAATAAATGAGGGGGATTGTGAGAGGATTAATGGGGTTGCAAAGAAGAAAAACAAAAAGAACAAAAGTTCTGCTGCAAATATTATTCATATTCTGGATTTGTATATAATCTTTGTGAAATAATTATGCTTATTACTTTAATTGTTTATCTATTTTGTTTATTTTTGCAGGGACAGCACACAATTAACAGTAATTGACCATCGACTAAGCCCACAACCCCCACTGCTACTCCGTCAAGCTGTCAGAGAAACGTATGATATAGCTTGACAGGTTTTTATGTGGAAACGTAACGTTTCAGGAACACATATCTCCTTCCAACCTCTCCGAGTATCACTATTGTACAACGTTTAACCATGACTAGCTCCACATCCACAAAACCAGTCTGCCACTAGGCAGGGAGACAAAATGCAACCACAGAACAACAAAAACATAAAAGAGCTCAAAACATAAAGCCCTTCAGTGTGAGATTAGAAATAGAATCAGTATGATAAATACAATAAACTGTTGTGCTGACTTTAACCAAAGCTTAAGGCTGACTCCCTAATATGTGTGTATCATTTCCCCACTACTTTAACCGAGAAAGCAGATTGACCAACAGCTGTCTTTCTGAATTGAGGTGCTGAGTCACCCCCATTTAAAAGAAACCATCTGGGAAGTTCAGATGGAAAATCCTTCTTTGGTGAAACATCTCAAACACAAGGATCCCCAACTACACACTGTTTTCTATAAAGAGTCTCAAGTCAAAAAAACTGGCCTCCATTGGTTTAATCTGTATCAATCCATTGTATTTTAGAAGCATATCATACATGTTTTAATATAAAACCTTAATCTGAAAGTAACCAGTAATGGAAATCTGTCTAAAAATATATGTAGTGGAGTCAAAAGTACAATATTTCCTGCAGTGCAGTACAGGTATAAAGCAGCATAAATGGAAATACACAAGCAAAATATGAAAAGTCACTTTCCACCAGTGTCTAACTGATAGTGTTAGGGAGGTAGGAATACTACTGTGAAAGTGTTCCTGATAATGTGATAAAGGAAAATAATATTTCTGCTGTGGAGCAAAAATAAATAATTAAATTACATAGTAATACATTTTATGATTCTTAATAATACTCCTGCTGCCGACTAAATATTACAGAAAAGGGGAATCAGGGAGTCATTGACATATGCTGTCTGTGTGTGTGTGTGTGTGTGTGTGTGTGTGTGTGTGTGTGTGTACGTACTGTATGTGTCCTCCCCCCTGATGTGCACTCCGCTCTTGTAAACAGTCCCCCCCCCCCCAGTGCAAGGCCAGAGCGCAGATTAGTCTTGTTGACTCTTCAAGGACACCCTGTCACGCACAGGCAGCGGGGAACGGACCCTTAGCACGCACACACATACACACTCAGATAACCACCCCCTACACACATGTTAATTTACAGAGCACATTCAGAGGCAATTGCACTGAGGCTCATTAATTTCCCAACGTATACATCCATTTCCACAAAGCTCAGATTCTGTGCAACGTAAAAAAAAACAGACGGCCTTGCCCACTGAAACATCTGCTGCTGTTGTGCGCTAACACACTTTCACCGTCTGCCTCACAATTTCCCTCAAACACTAATCCAGTGACTCAACTCATGCTGTCAAGGTGAATAATAAACTGATACTGGACCTCAGTCTGGCTATGTGTTATTAAAAAACATACATACAGAGTTTGTATATGATTTCTCGTCCTGCAATTCTTTTCGACAGCATAAAAGTTTCTTGATAGAATTTGAAAAAAGAGAAATCTGGGTGAGGGAGGTTATGTGTTGGTTCTGAAAAGCCCATTTAAACATCAAGAAAGAAGAGGACAGCAGTTGCTATGTGCAAAATAATGGTTGCTATGGGTTCGTAAATGAGAAAGAGACGCGATGTGTTAAATTGGTGCCGTGTGACTTCATAACAGCATGAACGAGTCCTAATGATTTCCTAATGTTTAGAAAGTGGGCATTTTATTTTGAAAGTGTTTTCCAGTAGCCATGAAAAACATGTGCTCACCTTCCTGTGTAACAACAGGTTACTCTCCAGTGCAACGCCTCATTTATGTAATTGTCTTCTGGATTCAACATAACCTTTGACTTGTGCATATTACTTGTTATTTCTGTTAAGTTACATTTATTTTTATCTAATTTGTTTCACAGTCAAACTTGCTGCCTCATTATTGTGCAGCAGGCTCCAGCATCCTGTCTGCGATGCATATTTAATAATAATAGCAACCAAATGTGTTGTCACATGTAAACAGAGCCCCCCTGGAAAGAATAGCTGGCGAGCTTAACTTAGACTGCCATTAACTTTTAATGATGTTCTGACCTGAGGACAGGCACACCAACGCGTCTGTCTGTCTAATACCTCACAGGTAGTACTTGATGTACTAAAACTGGCTGATTAGTCTGAAACGTCCGACCCATGGATTGTCACACAAGCCATGGGACATCACGTTATATTCGACAAATACATCAGGTCAAAGTTATAAAGATGTGTGTAGGTGTTTTCTCTCTTCACGTAGTCTGACTGGATGTAGACTGTGGGTATAAGTCTACAATTGGCCATCTATTGCCCCCCCCC